GTCACTGGATATGCACTACCTCTGGAGAGAAGCTGTGAACTTGAGCCCATTGGTTGATTAAGGGCAATTCCTAGAGAGACTAAGTTGAAATCCTACATTGCCAATGCCCCCTGAGTACCTCAGACCTGAGGGGGCACCTGGTGGTCCCCACCACAACCAAATGCCATTTGTTATGGTTTGCATTGGGATGGCACCCAAAGTCCCATCTGTTGAAAGCTTGGTCCCCAATGCAGCAATGATCAGAGGTGGGGCTTTTAGAAAATGATTGAATCATGACCTCATCTGTTGATTAATCCATTTGATGGATTAGTAATTTGAATGGACTACAGGGAGGAGGTAGAAACTGTAAGCAGGTGGGGCATGGTTGAGGGAATTAGGTCACTGGGAATATGTTCTTGGAGACTCCCCAATCCCTCCCCCCCCCACCCCTGAATGCTTCTTCCTGGCTGCCAGGAATGGAGCAGCTCTGCTCTGCCACACCCTTCCGCCATGTTGTTTTGTCTCCTCTCAGGTCCGGAGTCTGCCCAGAAAAAACTCTGCACTATAAGCCAAAATATTCTTTTTTTTTTTTTTTTTTCAGAGTAGAAATTAGAAGTTTATTAAAGGACAGCAGAAAAGACTTCTCCCGGAGGAAGAAGGGGACCCAAGAGGTGGAATCCCCAAAATATTCTTTTTCTCCTTTAAATTGTTTATGCCAGGCATTTTGGTCACAGCAATGAATGTATCTTCTTAAAACATTTCTTCTGTACAGGCAATACCAAACTGACGAGAGTTCCACTTATGATTTTTTAACTTTATGATGTTGTGAAAGTAATATGAATTCAGTAGATCATCATGTGAATTGATCTTTGCTTGGCTAGTGGCGTGTCATACAATTCTATCTCAAGATGAGCCAAGGTCCCAGTCAGCCTCATGGTCACCAGGGTGAACAACCAAGTCTCCACAGTATACTCAGTGTACTGTGCTGCTAAAAGATGAAGTTTCCTAGGTAAGTTATATTAAATGCATTTTCGACTTATGTTTTTAATTTATAATGTGTTTGTCAGGAGTGAACCCACTGGGACTCAAGGAGATCTGTGTTCAGGAAGAGTGAGCCACAGCCCTGAAGCCATTATCTTAGCAGCCTGGTATTGTGATGCATATCTGTAGTTCCACCTAATCCTGTAAGTCTAGGAGGTCAAGGTCAGCCTGGGCAACATGGTGAGACCCCAACTCAAAGGAAAAGTGTGGAGAGAAGAAATTATATTATCAGAAAATCAAGCTGGAAAATTCCAGCTTTAATGTAAAAAGGGTTCCAGCTCAAATCATGAACTGGTAAAAATGAATTGAAAAAAATCATTATAACATCTTCCTAAATAGATCTGTAAAGGGATCAAAAATTTACCCAAATCCCAACAGCGTTTGCATTGTAGAAATTGACAAGCTGATTTTAAAATTCATATGAAAACTCAAAGGACCTAAAATAACTGAAACAACTTGTTGATCAAAGTTAGAAGACTACTAGTGTCAGGTTTCAAAACTCACATAAAGCTACATTAGTCAAGGCAGTGTGACGCTGCCACCAAACTACTCAAATAGAACAACAAATCACAGTCCAGAAATAAACCTCCACATATTTGAACAACGGATTTTTTAAAAAAAACATTTTTTATTTTTTGGAAGTATTTGGAAATAATACCTTTATTTTATTTATTTATTTTTATTGGTGCTGAGGATCGAACCCAGAGCCTCCCATGTGCTAAATGAGCCCTCCCCCACTGAGTCACAACCCCAGCCCCCCACCCCCACCCCACCCCCCCCAAAACAACAGATTTTTAACAAAGACAGTAAGACAATTCTGGGGAGAGTAGATATTCTTTCAATAAATGGTGGAACAAATAAATATCCATATGCAAAAAAAGAAACCCTACAATTAATTACTAAAACTTGCACCTTGCACACACATAAAAAAAATTTACATAGATTATCAACCGAAATGTTTAAAACTTCCAGAAGACAGAGGAATGAAACAATATGGATGGATCTCAGAATAACTGTGCTGAGTCAAAGAGTGTACTGTACATCCATTCCACTCATATAAAATTCTAGAAAATAAATCTACAGATCAGTGTCTGCCTGGGGAGGGAGCCATAGGAAGAGTGGGTATGAGGAGGCTTTGGGAGGTGATATGTTCACAACCTTGACTATGGTAGTAATTTCAGTTCTGTGATGACTTCACATACCACCATATCAAATTATATGACTGACTCGGGCACTGTTTAGTGTGTGCCTGTTAAACCTCAATAAAACTGGAGAGTAGAGGAAGAAGAAAGAGAGGGAGGAAGGAAAAGGAGAGGCAGGGGAACACATCTGGGGTCTGAAGCCACATTTCTGAGGGTCTATTTTTGACCATCAAAAAGAAGCCCCTACAGAGAGTTTTGAGTGGCCTGGTCAGATGGAAGAATGATCTGTTTGTCTAATCAAGAGCATAAGACAAATATGTGGGCTGATGTCTCTGAAAGAAAAAAGGAAATGAGTTGTCGAGGTGGTGCTAGAAATGCTGTTCTCGCAGTAACTAGCTGAGGCTTTGACGGCATGACAGTTCCCCCGGAGCTGTCTCGGGGTGATACCCAGGCCAGAGATAGCGCCTTCTAAAATGCAATTTTAGCTTCTCCATTCCAGGCATAGAATTAACCTCCCTTCCTGGTCACAGCACACTCAAGGTGGTATCTGTCCCTTGTCTTCTATCATGACCAATTCCTGGGAGTCTAAGATCTTTTGCCTTTCATGAAACTATTAAATGAGATAGAATTTATTCTAACTGAGAGGATTAGTGCTGGTCCAAGAACTGTGCCCCACTCCCCTGCCTGGCCTTGGGACTTAAGCTCTTGCCTGTTCAGACCAGTCCCTGCTTCCAGATTCTTCCATCAGCCCTTCTGATGGTGCACCACATTTATGCATGGGTATGGTAACAGGTAAGTCAAGGCTAAATGGTGTTGGTAACCATGGAGGCTTAGGCAAACAAGTGACTTGAGACCCAGTTTGTTTTACTCTTACTACTTTTATTATTAATGCGTTTTAAGAGACCATCCCCAATTTGATAACTCACAATGACAAAAGATGGTGTTGACACGGCTCTGTGCCTCTTCACAGCAACTACTGCCACTATGGACACCACAGGGCAGGAAAGGGGAAAGACAAGCCAATGCTGGAGCTTACCTGGAGGATCTCTAAGTTCAGGAGTGAAGGGATGAAATCAACTGTGAAACTCAGGGATGCCGCAGTCTGGCTGGGCACAAAATCACAAGCCACCACACACCTTGTAGATTCAAACAGCAACTCTTTATTCTCGAACTGTCACCGGCACTTTACACACACGTTCTGGGCAAAATCCCAAATACTCTCTGAATCCCGCGAGAACTCAATGGGAACTCAAGAAGCGGGCGCGCCTGAGGCAGCAGGATACGCCCTATTCCCAGCAGGGTACACCTTAAACCTGGAACCACCCTAAACCCAAGGAGAGGGATACTCCCTAATCCCAGCAGGATACACCCTAAACCTGGATCCGCCCTGGTCCTTGAGCAAGGTCACCTTACATGCAATGTCACTGCAAATGACCTGGGTCAATATGGAGAGTCCTTCCTCTAAGCAACATTGGGTAGGCTGACAAAGAAATTGCCATGTGTCATTCCTACTTAGCAATGGCTCTCAGCACAGGGAGACTCTAAGGGAGTTGATTGGAAGGAAGATTCCCAAGCAGGGCCAGCCTCTGTGTAAGGCGACCACCCTGCTCCAATATCTTTCTATACTCACAAGGAACATTCCTTTCGATTTACTTTGCTGCCTCAAAGCAAATCTAAGATTATTTTGGACTAACAAGTTTCTTCTCTAAGCTTCATATATAACTCTGTACCAGGTAAAGGTCTACAAGCCATTAACCACAAGAGCTTGACTTTGTTCAGTTAAAAGTGTCCAACAAATGCCTTGTGGAAATCAGCTACAAGAAAAGAAAGAGCTTGGTGCATAGGAAGTGGATGAAATGAGGAAAGTAGGGAGCTTGAGGGTTATGGGAGGGGAAGTGTTTGAAGCAAAATGAGAATATGTTAGAGGGGCAGGAGAGCAGGTAACAGGGAACCGAGTAATCAGAAACAGAATGTGGTCAGCCACAGAGGAACAACTGCACAAGGATGACTGTTCACCTCAATGGCCACTTGAAAAATGTTCATTATACTCTAGTAAAATAAGGGAATGCGTGGAGCACACCTGTAATCCCAGTCTCTTGGGAGGCTGGGGCAGGAGGATCACAGGTTCAAAGCCAGCCTCAGCAACTCAGTGAGACCCTAAGCCACTAAGAGACCCTGTCTAAATAAAGCATAAAAAACAGGCTGGGGATGTTGCTCAGTGGTTAAGCACCCCTGGGTTCAATCCCCAGTACCAAAAAAAAAGGGGGGGGAATTCTCCTGATGTTACATAGAAAGAAGTAAGAGGCATAAGAAAGAAACATCAGTGATTGACAAAAACTTCACCCAGTTAAATATCTTAACTGAAGCTGACCTTGGAGTCTTTCTCCTCTTCCTTCTCCTCCTCTCTCACACCCTGATTTCCCAGACACAGAACTTACAGTGAGTTTTACTCCTTCATTATTTCAGCTACATGATACACAAAATAGCTTTCTATGGTCTAGCAGACTACCACATCCTTAAAAAAAAAAATGCTATTCTGATGGTATAAAGTAGTATCTCACTTGCAATTTACATTTATTTGATTTCTATGAGTTTGAATATTTCTTAATATGTTTCTTAATCACTTTTCCACATATGTATCCCATTTTTCTGTTGGATACATACATGGAAAAGTGATACATTTCTTATTGATTTATGGAGGTTAATTCTGTGTATCAGAACTCATCTCTTGTTGTCACGAGCAGCTTCTCAGCCTTGTCTGGTTACCAGGAGTTCCCTTCCGGATATCTGCACTGGACCCCGGACCGCGACGTACGCGAACACCAAGCACGAACTCGATTGCCTTTTGAAATGCTGGTTTATTCGCACACCACACAAAGCAATACACGGGGTGACTGGCTCACACTGCACGATCTTACTCTCAGGCGATGAGAGTTGATTGTGAGCAAATACATGGAGTTTCCCTCGCGCTTATATACTCTATATGTTTACAACAAACTTGTTTATGTCTAACTTATCTAACATAAGCACACTACCTAGTTACATCATCAACTTATCTAACATGGGCATACTATCTAGTCATCCTATAGCCAAAACATGTTTACAACTAAAAAGTCACTTAGTCACTGCAAAGTCCAAAACAAGTCCAAAACAAGTCCTTTTGCTGATTCATGTTGTTTATTCATCCTTGATGTTTACTCCTGTCACTTGTCAGTTTTAAATGTCACAAATATCTTCGCCAAGTAAGCCATCAACCATTCTATGTGATTCATAAGGCAGAAGTTTAAAAAAATTTTGTGAAATATTTTTCCTGCATCTATTAAGATAATCACATGAAATTTCCTTTAGTAAATTAATTAGATGGATTACACGGATAGATGTTTATCATTGTAATCTATTCTTGCACTTCTGGGATGAACTAAGGCGTGATTCATGGCTTTACAGTATTTGCTGGATTTAATAGCTGTATTCATTTTCTAGGGCTGCCATAACAAAATACCACAGACTGGGTGGCTTAAACAACAGAAATTTATTTTCCTGTAGTTCTGGAAGGCAGAAGGCAAGATCAAGGTTTTGGCAAGGATCTGTTTCGTCTGAGGCCTCTCTCCTTGGCTGAAGGATGGCCATCTTGCCATTGTGTCCCCACATGGCCTTTTCCTGGAGTCTCTTTTCCTCTTCTTGAAGAATACCAGCCAGAATAGGTTAGGACCCAACCCTTTGACTTCATTTAACTTTAATTGCCTTTTTTTTAAAGTACTATTTCCAAATATAGTTACATTCTGAGACATGTACAAATTTGGAGAGGACACGGTTCAGCCATCGGGGTACTTAATATTTTTGTAAGTTTCTCGTTTATATTAACAAACAAATTTGGCTTCTAATTTTCTACATAAATGGTTTGAAATGTGGAAAGATTTCACTATTATCAGGAACTACTTGTATAAATTAGATTACGTGCTCCTTGAAATAGTGGTATATTTTCCCAGTAAAACCTCTGTGACCAGGGAGTTTTTTTGAATGTATCGGGTAAAACAGAATCTTTTATTAGCATTTCTATTTCTTTAATATTTGTTGATCTATTCAAACTTTCTATTTCTTATCCTTCTAATTGTGACATTTTAGATCTTTTGGGTTTTATACAGATTTCAACTTGTATTTCATAGTATCTATTTACCCTTTGACTTTCTTTCACACTTTTTTAAAAAGTTCTTTTATTTTTTATTTAAAAGTTCTTTATTTTCAGGGATTTCAGTCATGGATTTTTTCTTTTAACCTTTATTTCACTTACTTATTTTTATGTGGTGCCGAGGATCGAACCCAGGGTCTCACACGTGCGAGGCGAGCGCTCTACTGCTGAGCCACAACCCCAGCCCTCTTTCACATTCATACCTTTCATTCAAGTGGAAGTGGCTTTGTATACAGTGTAAGCTGGGGCTCTAATTTTATGTTTCTCCTTATCAAATGAGTCTACTTTCCCACCGTCATCTAGACAACCATCCATTTCTTCTTCAATGACTAACAGACTCTCTTTATTATGTATAAAATATCTAACTATACATGCAAAGGATTTTATTTTTATTCTATCTTTATCTCACTGTCTTTTTTCTAATTCAAATGTTTACAAAGCATTAATACTTTTTTACCATACACATTTAATATCCCCAACAGTCCTGCAGGGTATTATCTGTTTTTTAAGTGACCAGACAGACTCAGAAAGATTATACTTAGGGTAAAGCTCACATAATCCTGCATGATATACCAAGACTTCAGACTCCAAATTAACTGCTCTTTTCCCAACTCCCATACCACCTATTTAAGCAGCTGGTTTCTTGTACCTAATTTCATCCACTCAAGTATTTGTGGGAACCTACTGTGGACCAGACACTATTCTGGGTTCTAGGTAACCGGAGAACACAAGCCGGATGAAGGTCTCTACCCTCATAGAGCTCACATGGCAGACTTCAGTGGGCAGATCTGAACACAGAGATGGCAAATAAGAAACACATTTGAAAACAGCGACTATTCTTGTCCCCACTGGGTATCCATCCTTTCCAAGAGCTTGGTGCTTCCGTTTTTTTGAAGAATTCAAATAAGGCCCTGGAAGTTCCTGGACTTTAATGTGCAAAGGGTGACTTGCAGTCTCCAAGTCAAACAAAAGGCACTCTGGAGTCCTGAGACTATGTCCTTTGCTCTGCCAGAGACACCATTTTGGCCCTTTCCTCTCACACCTGAACTAAGTTAAGAACACGCCTCTATTCCCAAACCCTACTGCTGTGAATTCCACCTGGTTTTGGGAGGTCGAGATGTGGCTGGTGGAGATGGAGAGCAGCCATTTTCTACCATTGCTAAACCCATTACAGAGAGCTTTCTTCTCATTCTTAAATGTCTTGACAGTTAAGCCTAGAAATAAAGTCAAATTTATGTGATTCACCTAACTTCGTAGTGATGATTCAATTTAAGATTACTAAAAATTGACTACAGGATTGAATTAAAGGGTGCCCTAGTTCATCTCCCAGGAGATAAGAAGTGATCCTGAGAAGCAGATGGCAATATCCATTCTTTAATAGTCATTGAAGAGCTGGGTCCATGGGGGCCTGAACAAAAACAATATTCCCCAGCATTCCTTGCGACTATGAAATTAATTTCTGGCCAATAGAATTTGGAATTTCTCAGTCAAGCCCTTAAGAGGGGACTGTCCTCCCCTTTCTCTTTGGCTGGCTAAAAGGGAACCTAAGGGAATACCTTGGGCTGTGGACATGAAAGAATCACCCTGAGGATGGCACAGTGGAGAACTGAGAGCCTGACTTGTTGTGGCCACGTAGAACAGAACCTCAGTTTGAGCTGGGCTTTAACACAATAGAGAAAACAGCCTCTGTTTGGATTAAGTCACTTATCTATATGTTCACTAATGTCACCCATGTCCAACCACCCTCCCTGTTCTTCCCAACATCCACCTTCAGACCTTTCTGCAGCGATTCAAATAACTATCCTTCTTGTCGTCCATGTCCTGCTAACAATGAGTATCAAGTAGGGAATATATCTTCCATTGAAGTCACTTCACGTCAAACCCAAGGTATGGGCAGCCATATATTAAGAAGTCAGTTGACAAGCCATTAAGAATTTTGTAGTTTTTTTTTTTATTATTTTACTATTAAAATTTTTAAATCTTTAAATCGGTTAATCTTCAAGTAAAGACTAATCGTATATTCATCTTTATACATTATATACATTTGAGAAATAAATAGAGTTTTAAGTAGCATTAAAAAAAAAAGACTCATTATATACAAATAAGGCTTCAAGCCAAATGTATAAATACACAACCCACTGAGGATTCGGTCCCCAACTCTCCCCTTCCTGGAAACAGAAGTCAGAAGTAACCGGGACACAAGGCCAATAATACAAGTTTCACTTTGGCTAGAAAGCAGTTGCAGAAGTACACAGTGGATGGAGAGCACACTCTAAATTAAGGCTTTACTGGTTATGTCTTCAGAAGTTTGGCATTCAACAGTGACACAACTTTGGCACAGTGAAAATTAAAACAGTGTCCTTTAAAAAAAAAAAATCTAAGTACAAAGAAAATTGCTCTCCCACCCCCACCTGATAGCACACCTCCTCCCAAATAATTCTCACCCATAAAAAACCCAACCTCTTGGCACAGGTTTCTCCTGGTTATATATTAATAAAAGAGTTTGGGATTTTATGGATGGCTCCGGAAGGATTCCATGTTTGTCACATCTGGAGCATATTGGCAGGAATTGGCTATAGATAGCTTCATGAAGTTTCAGAGATGAATGAACCATGAATTTTGCCTCCAGGAAATCTGGATCCTTGGCCCAGCTCCACCACAAGCTTGGTGTATAATCCCAAGCATGTGGCTGAATCTCAGTAAGCCCTGATTTTATAAAATAAGGTTAATAATAGCTGCCTGCTCACCTTGCTCCAGGTGACGCACATGCAAATCGTTTGAAAAGTATAAAAGGGTTGCTCATCTATCATGTTTCTTCATTCAAATCAAGATCCAGAACTGAAGGCTTTTCCAAGTTCAATAGCATAAATGCATTGGTGTGAAAGCAAGATATTTCAAGAAGGAAAGCACTGTGTTAACTCTTAGCTCTGCTGACAGGGGATACTTTCTGTAACACAGTGTTGGTTCATTTTTGACTTTTTGCTGTCCTGGGAATCTAACCCAGGGCCTTATATGTGCTAGGCAAGCACTCGACATGCATCTTCAGCCCCAGGTTTCTGTGTAAACAGTATGTAGAGCATATGTAACATCTAATAGATCCCAACCCTGTCTAGCAATTGGCCATGTGGTCCCTGTGTGTATGATAAACAGCTAGTGATTTAATTGTCACTCTTGGAGGAAATGGCACCTGTTAACTAAAAAGAAATAGAAAGGAACCACTTAAAGCCTCAGTCCCCAACTCTTACAGCTTGGAGCCCACCCCACTCCCCTCCTGTCTTTCACCACATGGAATCCCATGGATCACTAAACTAGAAAGGATTCTAGAAAACGCCAACCCCATGAGCTTCCAAAGAGAAAGGTTGAGTAACATGTCTGCTGCCACAAGCTAATTGAGTGCCCAATAAGCACTTGTTCAATCAAGAGATGAACCATGGAAACAGTAGAGAGCAGATGATGTGTGCCTCAGAGGGTGAGCAAGGAGCTGGACGGAAGCTCTAAGATACAACCAGTATTGACCAGTGCAGCCCTGGGAACTCCCACAGCAGGGCCTCAGCCCCAGGCGAGATCTAAGTTTCCCTGTTTGGGCCAGTGAGGTAAGAGGACTGCCATCCTGACATGAGTCAGCTCTGGAGGAAAAGACCTCACACTAAGTCCCAAGTCAGGCCAAGTACAACCACTGCCCAGCCAGCCTTCTGGGGTCAGGCAAAGCCTGGGTTCACCCAGCCACTGGGAGATTGCTGGGTGTGCTCGAGGGCCCCGGGCATTCTGCTGCTCCCACACAGGTCTGGCCTTGGCTCCCAGGGGCATCAATGGAGGTTTGGAGTTAGACTTCATCTAGAGCGGCAACTGGTGCTTCAGCAGAGCAGTCTCCTCATGCAGGAAGTGGCAACCCTCACAGGCAACAGAGGTGGGCCCAGGGGCTCCAAGGTCAAGTCCAAGAGGAGTCCTTCACTGGGTGGGTCCTCTGCAGTAACTTTGCTCCATGTGCACGGACAGCTGGACGGCGGGGTTGGTTTACGTGCTGGCAACACGTCCAGGCACCCTCAGACCAGCTCCACGGTTGGACTGAAAGGAATCATGCAAGTCCAGCGTTCGTTAGCTCACTCACCAGCACCTGGCAGCCCTGGACAGGGCTGTGCTCTGAATCAGCTTCTGACACCCCTGGGCAACTATTTTGCTCAATTTCCTTTCTGAGGAGCAGACAAGATCCTGACGGCTTCTTTCTCCTTCCTGCCCCCAAAGCCACAGCTTCACTCTGAGAAATACCCGAGGGGAGCCTCTTTGGGACCTTAGCTGTGTATATAACAACCCATACATTCAGTGTTTAGCATAGCAAGTGAACCCAAGCCCACACAAACAGGAGAACTATCAAAGTGCCCTCTTTGCCTCTGTCTAGAAACATAAGAAACTGTAATAAGGCAACAAAGAGGCAAGGCTGAGTCAAAAGGCCCCAATTCTAGTTTCAGCTACAGGAATGTGCTACTGAACCACTCTGAACCTCTGTCTTTTAATCAATGAGCAGGTGTATGGTGTCCATGTCAAGAGGAAGAATATTGACAGTGTTGCATATGTCTAGGGATACCACAACTTCCTAGTGTTCATTTATTCCTTGAGATCCTCCTGTTTCCTGTTCCTTGCAGGGGAGGGGAAAGGGCAACTTATTTTCTAAAAGAAGTTTAGGTAAAAGGGTAAGGCAGGTCATGGCAATTTTAACCTTCAGAAGTTCTGGAGCAGAGAAGAATAACATATTTTAACCCTCATCATAAAAATAGCAGTCTTCCCAGTGTGGCCAAAGAACAAGGCTGTTCAGGGGATCCATGAAGTTAATATATGAGGAAGCATTTTGAAAGGTATAAATTTGGACACAAACATAAAGAATTAAAATCATAATTATAATGGAAAATCATGTGAGCCCTCACTAGATGGAGTCCCTTAATTAGAGAGGCAGTCATTAGACCCCACACATCCTGTGATCACTAAGCCTGAGGTCCTGTTGATGCTCCTAAACTGGAGACAGAGCAGCTGGAGATGCAGCCCAGCCTTCAGGACTGGCAGACAGTTAATCACAGGGGACCCCCCAAGTATGCTTGATAATTAGTATCCAGACCAAGATGAGGTGATTCGTCTGAGCAGATAGAACCTTCGCACTAAAGAGCACAAACTTTAGAGCAGAAGGACCTGCTCCAAGTCCTCCTTTTGCCATCACCGGCTGGGGGAGCTTAGGAGAGTGACTTCATCTCCCTGAGCCTCGGTCTCCTCATCTGCACCCAGGGATAGCAACACCTGCCTTTTGGGGTTGATGATAAAAGCAAATGATTGTGTAAGTCTCTGGATGCTAAGTGAGCATGTGCTAAGTGCTCAATGTATGCATGAACACATGGTCTCCCCTCATCCTCAGTAAGCATTTAGGCTCAGAAGGCATGTGGCTGGTTTCCCTGGAGAAGTCCACTGCCTCACACCTTGACCTGGGCCTTCCTCAGCCTGAAATCGTGGGATTCCAGGATAGCACAGTGGGACACTGAAGCCAAACAAGCTGTCCACTGACTCAGCTCCACACATGAGCATTCCTGATTCTCAGAGGGGTGAATCAGGCCCACTAATATCTACCCACACCAAACTGGGTTCCAGAAAACCTAAAAAGCGAAATATGCTTTGTGCTTCTTCTCTCCCTCCCAGGCTGCTCCCACTCCAACCTGATTCCAGAAGAAGCTCAGAAGACTGGGTCTTCCCATAGCCCTGGTCACTACAGAGGAGATTTCAATCTAAAATGAGGGGCATGGACACCAACCCCAGGGAATTCGCAACTGAAAAACCTGATCCCAACAGGGCCACAGGCAATGAGCATCTTCAAGGGGAGGCAGACCAAGAGGCAGAAGGACATGCGCACCCTCTGACAACCTATGTTTTTCACTTATTTATCATCTACGTCCTTCCAGCAGGAGGTTGGCTTCATAAGGAAGGGGTTCTTGTTGGTTTGCTCATTCATGGCCCAAGTGCCCCGGTCCATGCCCAGCAGGTACAGGGTGATCAGAACACAGAGAAAGTCCTGGTTACCTGGTTTCATTTTTCATTCTCCAGCCATCCCGACACTTGTGAAACCAGAGCTCTTGGCCAGGGGATATGCTGGTGTTCTCAGGGTCTTCGGTGCAAAATGTCAGCCTAAAAAAACATAATAATAATAATAATAGAAAAAAGAAACCACTGACATTGCCAAAGCTCTAAGGGGATGCAGACCATACCCTCTGGATTCCAGGCAATTGGAGGCGGGAAAGGGAAGTTTTCATCATGCCGTGCCAATGCCAGAGCTTCAGAACAGCCATGGCCACGGCTACTGCTGGACTCCAAACTGTGTCTTAGTTTGAAGGTTTCTAGGATCCAGCTTCACACCTTCTCCCCTACCTACCCCAAATCCTGCCTGCCGTCAAGGCCATTGCCTCTTGGAAGCCCCCATGAACCTAATCCTCTCTGGACCTCTCAACTTAGTAAAAAGGCATATTCTTATCTAGATGTTGTTTTTACAATGGTCATTACTTCTTACGATGTGCAGTTAAAAGTGAATGTGTCGTTTTATTTTACAGTATTCTACACTGCCTGAAACTGCTGTTGATTCCTATATCTACAGTCAACTTCTCCACTAGACTGTGAACTCCTTGAATGGAAGAATTCCAGGTGCCTCTAAGACGGCGCTCTATAAATACACATTGGCAAGAGTAACCGGAACCCAGCTGCAAGTCAAAGTGCACAATTCAGCAAATAGGCAGCCAAGATCACAAGAAATGGCCAGGGGACTCGTAACCATTTCATGATAACCTAAGGCTATCCATGTAGCCTCCCTGGTGTTTGACCAGCATGACTGCATAATCAAAAATGTGTGAGGAACTTGACCCTGATACTGAGGCAGGACAAGAACCACATTTAGAATGGTTTAAAAACTTTTCCCAGGAATCCCTAAGGATGGCTTGCATCACTCACAGTCTGGAAATGCAAATGAATACATTAGGGAACCCATGAGAATGGCAAGAATGTCCCACCAAATGGTGGTGAGAAGGAAGGAAAAGGAGAACTATTACTATGTGACCAAGATTGATAACTCGTTCAACCACTTTGGACAGAGAGTAATAATAGCTGATTATATTGGAGGCTGCACATATGAGAACTCAGCAATTCCACTTTTTAGTAAACTGGCCACAAAGAAGCCTCCACACAGAGGTGCAAGGAAAATGCACCAAGACATTCATCTCAGCACTATTTGTAATTACAAAAAAAAAAAAAAAAGGTAAAAGTTTAAGTATTCAGTGTTTGTACAATGATGACTTATAAGAATTAAATCTCAATGTATTGGATTAATTTCACAGACAATGTTTCAATGAAAAAAGCAACTTGTAGAGCTGGGATATAGCTCAGTGGCAGAGCATTTGCCTAGCCATATATTGTTTAAGGATATAAACAAAAATACTAATGGCATAAAAATATGAAGTAAGGAAACACTACCATTAGTTAATGTCGAAACATTCTTTATACTTGGTTTGAAAGAAGGGGAGGAATGAGACCAGGAAAGAGCACAGTGGGACTTCAACTGTATCTATAATGTCTTACTTTTAAAACCTTCTATCTGAAACCAATAAGGAAAACTGCTTAATTTGTTAAGTCTCAATGGGGATTAAATGGGTGATTATTATATGTGAAATAGTTTGTAAAAGTAATCATCTTTCTGCTACCACACCCACAGGCATAGGCTGTACTTAGAAGAGCCTAGAGAAGTTAAAAAAAAAAAAAGACATAGGATTATCTAGTTCACTGGCTTAGCACTAACAGTCTCCCCCATCTGAGCCCCCAGACCAGAAGTGCCCAGAGGAAGGATCCAAAGCTCCAATTCAGCCCATCTGCTGCTATGCTGGGATGCAGGTGGATGGACGCAAACAAGACGTGTGAAGAATCGTAATGAAGAAAATGCCAGGAGAGGGACCGAGAGGGTGGAAGCTGCTCCCTCCCACCCCGAGGCTGGCAGTGACCACTGCAGAGGTTGGGGGGAAGGACGTGGTTAAGAAAACCCTCCTCTCTTGACAAAGGTCTCCCAGGCTCTGCTGGCTTTGAGCCCTCTTCCACTTCTGTTTAGATAGAAGCCTGCTCAGAGAGTTGGGGCACAGTATCAGAAGTTGACATATAAAGGTCTGGGTCTTTCATGCAAGGCTCAGGGTTCCAAGAAGTGGAGAAGTGCCAGCTGGCATGGCACAGAGGATTCTTTGTTCCTTGAAGGTTGAACTCTCGCCCTACATCCCCCACTCAGACCCTCTAGAGAAGAGAGAGCATCATGCTTTGAAAACAAGGTGCTGGGGGAAACCAGGTCCTCTCACACAGACCTCCTCAGTGGGACATGCTGTTCCAGTTAGCCCTGCAGTGAACAGATCGACAAGGCAGCACCCCTGAAGACCCCTTCACAGAGGAACCCTCCTTCCTCCAGGCTGACACTGGGCTTGGAAAACAGGAAAAGAGCTGAATTTCAGCCCCTCATTCCTAGTCTTCCCAGCCAAGAGCCTGTGATCAGAGCATAAGATTGGAGTCTTCTGCTCATCACTTACGTGGGGCAGAAGAAGGGCCAGGAGTACTTACTTCCTCTGGGTTTCCCCAGACTTGACTCGGATGCGCCTGATATGCAGCTCCCACTTGGTGTTGCTGGGTTGAGACAGGTAGCTACGGAGCTCCTTCCACAGGTTGTACCAGGACTGTGACGTCCCCTCCCAGGTGAGTTTGATCTTTAAGAGGTCACCCAAGTCCTCCTCAGTGTAGACCAGAAAAGTGTTGGTGGCATTCAGCCCAATCTGCTCCACTCTACAAAGTGAGAGAGAAGCTTGTGTCACTCCCTGCCACCTGAAAAACTGCCTCACTGTGCCAGGTGACACAGTGGCAGCACCTCCCCTATAAGGACTGGAGAGAAGCAGAAGTCAAGTCCCTCCCACAGGACCAAGGTGAAAGTTCAGCTGTGTTCCACATTGACAGGGAAAGAACTGTCATCTGATCTCTTATTAAAATCATTTCTATGTGTGATGTAACAAAATGCATTCTACTGTCATGTATAACTAATTAGAACAAATTTTTTAATTTAAAAATAAATATCTGAGCATCTCTCTGTTCATGCTACTACTTCCTGGGAAGACGGGACCAAGAAAGCAGCAATGAGAAGGCACAGGAAGTCACATCACCACACAACACTGTGCTGTTCCTCTCTGCTCCTGAGTCTCCCTCTCAGCTCCTAGCCCCTTCCTGCTTGTCCCTTTCATTGAACACTCAGTGTGGCTTGCCCTGGCCCCAGCTGTTTGTCAGAGTGTGTGCACACTAGACCCTGAGCCCTGAGCAGTGAGTTACTTTGATGATGTTCCTTCACAAGCTCAACATTACTTTGCAGGGCACGTTGTCCCTGTGGGTCCTCAACAAATACAAACAGACGGTCATGTGCCCCTCCCACAGCCGATCATTTAAAAGGTACAGAAATGACGTTCACCAAGTTCCAGATTCCCTAAAGCCTCAGGTGTCAGGCGTTGCCTGAAATGAAACAGCAGTTCTGCCCAGCTGATCCAGCACTTTCTCACGCCCCTGATTCATCATAGGAGGTTCCCTCCCAGAATGTTCTGAGTCAGGGTTGGTGGAGAGAACACCACAGGGAAAGTGGACTGGGGATGGCTAGAACCAGCCAGCCCCTTCCCCAGGCAATCCAACGTCACTCCTGCACTTGTTCAAAAGCTCCCTTCCCCTCTCAGTGTGAGCCAGCTTGTTCTGTATCTTGAGCCAAAGTTGCAAAAGGAAACTCAGGACTTACATTTCCAAAGGCAGAATCTGAGAGTCTGCATTGGTGCCATAGAGGGTAACATAAAAGGTGGGCTCGATCTCTCCTCTGTTCTTGTAACTGAAGATGTGGATTTTCATCTGGTAATGGTAAACTGTAGAGACAGCAAATCAAAGATGCTGGTGAGCCTTGCTTGTCATCTCAGGTACCCTCACCCACACCAACTCACCCAGCACCCTGGATTTTAGGGATTAACATCCTTTTAGTGCAATCTGGCCTCCAGCCTCCCTTTAGTCTTATTCTGTCCAAAGACATAAGAAGAGGTCACCACTAAGGAAGAGCCCTGAATTTAGGGATTAGGAGATGTTTCGGGGATTTAGGCCTCGATATCTTCTAACTGTGTGACCCTGGACTAAGGATTAAGGTGTTAACCTCTCTGAGTCTCATATGTAACTTTCTCATGTGTAGAACAATACCCACAAAACACTATAGTTCTATAGCACACTATAAAAATCATTTGTAATCCTCCGTTCATCCTAGTTCAGCTTTGTTGTGATCAAATGAGAAATCAAATATGAAATGGCTTTGAAAAGTTTAATGCAAAACAGAAATTTCAGATACTGATATTATGATCATATAGTGTTATTCACAGCACAGAAGGACTTCTCACCATTAGTTTTTGAAGAATAATTTTCTTAGGACATGCCCAATGGGATCTGATTTGCAATAATTTGATATGACTGTGCTGGCCACCACTCTTGGGAAACAAAATATTAAGGAGGAAAAAGCCAGATGCAGTGGCACACACCTATAATCCTAGCAAATGGAAAAGGAACCTTAGAGAATGCCTTTTCATTAGTTTCATGAGAAGGAAGGCATAACAGAAGAAAAAGAAGTAAATGGAGCCAGGTGCAGTGGTGCACGCCTGTAATCCCAGGGGCTCAGGAGGTTGAGGCAGGAGGATCATGAGTTCAAAGCCAGCGTCAGCAAAAGCAAGGCACTAAGCAATTCAGTGAGATCCTGTCTCTAAATAAAATACAAAAAAGAGCTGGGGATGTGGCTCAGTGGTTAAGTTCCCCATGTTCAATCCCTGGTACCAAAAAAAAAAAGAGAGAGAGAGAGAGAGAAAGAAAGACTAAGGGCCACTTTGGGGCCCGAAGATTACCTCTGAAGGGCATGCCTGCCCGTGTTTTTAGGTACATTTTGCTGTTCCTCTTGTTTCGCATTTTCTTAGCGTTATAACCAATGCTATTGCAACGATTTTTCCGGCAGCTGAGACAGATCCCCTTTTTGAAGCGATTGGAGTCTGTGCACTGGAAAGCGAAGCTCGGCTTGTCGTGATTCACCAGGGAATCCACAAAGAGGTGTACCGCTCGCTCATGCTCACATTTCATTACCTCCGTGATGGCTGGGGGAAAAAGACAGACCATGCAGGACAGGCCACTTCTCCATGGTGACCCACTCCATCTATAATCACTATACACCTTATCAGTTTATTAGTCTTTTCATTTGTGTAATTCTTTTTTTAATTAATTAATTTATTTTTTATTCCAATTTGTTATATGTTCATTTGTGTAATTCTTAATCCATATTAATCCGGGACCAGTGATGTGCTAGGCTCCTATGAAGATGTGGAAGAATTGAAGACTGTTCTGAACTCCTAACCTTGGTAAGAATACAGCACCAATAAGACAGAGAGAAATAAAGAGAGTTCATATAATAAGTGCTAAATACAGTGATGCAGACCAGCTGAGGGGTGGGAGTCACTAAATGCTACCAGAGTTGTATGGTCACAAAACTCAGGAAGGGCATCAAATGCTATACATCATCTAGTCCAGGGATCAGCAAAATATGTCTGGCCAGCTGGCTGGTCTTATAACTAAAGTTTTATTGGAGCATAACCCCATTTGTTGGTATATGTATTATTTGATCTTAGTCAAAAGGTGAAGAAGCAATGGTGTATGTATTCTCTATGGCTATTTCTGTGCTACCACCAGAGTGGATTAGTTGAAACAGAAATTGTATGGCCTATAAGGCTACAAATATTTACTAGTCAACCTTTCAGAAAATGCCCACACCATTCAACTCCAGACTATAATTCAAAGGCCCATATGCAGGACATAGTGGTGTACACCTGTAATCTCAGCAGCTCATGAGGCTGAGGCAGGAGGATCAAGAATTTGAGGCCAGCCTCAGCAACTTAGTGAAGCCCTAAACAACTTAGTGAGACCCTGTCTCAAGATAGAAAGGGCTGGGGATGTGGCTCAGTGGTAAAGCATCCCTCCGTTCAGTCCACAGGACCAAAAAAAAAAAAAAAAGAAAAAAAAAAAGCCCATAAATGTAAGATAATAATTTGCTCAGGTTCATACAGACAATTGGTTGCAAAGTTAAGAGTATAATTTGAATTTTCTGGTCTATAATATCATTGTTCTTTGCAACCAGAGGCTGAAGTCAACAGTAATTGGTTGAAATAATTCCTGTAATCTTAAGAAAAATCTGGCAATGCTACCTCAGCACCTTCATCACTGGCACCACTAATTTAAGAAATGCCATCATCCCAAAGCTGGAGCAGAGGAGAACTACCCTCTCATGAGCCTTTCAGCCACTCAGAGCTACTTAGACATTAACCACATTGGGAGCAGGGAACAGCCTTAAGACCAAGTGAGAGAGTGGGACCTCCAAAGCACAAAGTCTCAGAGTGCAGACAGCCAAATGGAGTCAAGACTTTGGAAATGCTGCCAGCGTCCAGGGCAATGAGAGTATGGGAATCCCAAAGAGTGATCAGTCACTGGGCCACACAGCAATTTCAGCAGCAAACTGACTTCAGCCCAAGTCTGCTGAAAATAGGTTCAGGCATTCAGAGAATAAATTGTAAGTGAACAAGAAAAACTTCTTGGTTTGGCTTCTTTAAAATGTTACCAAAGCTTAAAATACAGTATAGCCACACTATAGAATATCATACAGCCTAAAAAAAATAAAATTAATAAATGTACTTTCTCTGATGTTGCAAAATGTTCATCATATATTACAACAGACCAAAGGAAGTTGGAGAACAAAGTGATTTGGGAAAAATTAGAAGAACATATATAAATTTGCACAGAAAACAGCCTGAAACAACACACACACACAAACATCCATGCTGGCCACCCTTGAAGAGAAAACATAAGAAAAAAAAAAAGAGAGAAAACATAAGAAGGCATGGGGGGATGGTTATATTTTTTTGCTTAATGCTATTCTATATTGCTTGATTTTTTTTCCAGTAAACATGTGTGTGTTACTTTTGTCATAAAAAGAAATTAATCAATAACACCTGTGGCCTGGAAACACAAGAAAGCAAATGGATGCTATTAACAGGCATACAATAGGACTCAAAACCTTAAACACAGCACTGGGGCCACTGTGGGAGGAGTGAGAATGATAAAATGACTTGTGTGGGAGCTCTGGCTGATAGCTGATAGCTATCAGCTGATAGCTCTGGCTGATTTAGAAGGAGTTTGGATAAACTGAGTCAAACACAAAGCAGAAGATAAGAAACTCACTTCCATATGCAATTGATCCCAAGACATCATTGAATCCACAGCCCGGCTGAAAGTCACCCCCGTTGGGGTAGATGTCAATGTGGCCCACAGGCATCTGAATCCCAATGCTCAAGCCAAAGGTTCCTGTGTGAGTGTGCAGAACATCCACAAAGTCCGCATCATCAGGGGAGAGCCTCTTGTTGATGTCCACCCCTTCAAACAAGGGCCCAGCAGGATCCAGACCTGCAGCAGGAGAAGCCAAGAGAGATGACGTCAGGTGCACCATGTTGACAAGGCCTGAGTTTGAGTAGAATTCCATTGTGCAGAATGAAGGTGCCCTCTGCACCGTGACATGGAAGCAGAGAATGAAATTAGGAACCCGTTTTCATATGCAGTTGACCCAAGACATTGCCATAGAGATTATATCCTGTGAATGGAGAGCTGACACTGCCTTCTGAAGCCTCCTTGTGACCTCATGCCTTAGCAGAACCAGGAGACTAGCTACAAGGTCCACATAGCCACCAGCTCTGAGGAACCATGGGTGGTCAGAACTAGAGCACTTCTAGAAAGAACCTGGGCTGCCTCAGTCTCGGCCATTCAGTCCAGTCATCTGCCACTGAGCCTTCCATGGCCCTAATTTCAGCAGAATTTTTACAAAACAAATAAGTGACTACATCCTTCTGGAAGAGTCAGTCTCTCTCAACTGAGCTATTTATATTTGGACTTACTCTTCCCTTTCCTTTAGTTATGAGTCAGGCCCAGGGATGGGATGGTAAGAAAGGGGATACCTTCAATACCCCTAAAACACTACACCACGCCTCCAGAATTCCTCTGTTTAGCAGCCACAATGAGAAAACCTTTTTGCCTCCAAACTGTCTGTATTGAGTCAGCAAGAAGCCCTGCATAGGGCCCTGGTCCTCACATCTGAGAATGCACCAAGAGGACTGGGGAGCTTGTTAAAAATTTGGGATGTACCATGTAGCTATAAGACTAAAAATAAAAAAAAAAAAAACCCTCTGGAAGAATGGGCAATAGTTATCTGTAGTTATCTGTATGTATCTTCCTCTGTATGAGGAAGGAAACTTGTAATAGTAAGAGAATTTATGTGAATGTAAAACCATTCAAAAAAAAAAGAAGAAGAAGAACTTGCAAAGCATAAAAAGCAGATTTCCGACTCCCTGACTTCTAGAGATTTTAACAGGTAGGTCTGGCACAAAATCTAGAAATGTGGTCTGTAGACCAGTTATTGAAAAGCATCCCTGGGTTTCAGTATTATCTATGAAGTAGAACCTGAATGCCTTTATTCATACTGTGCATGTGAGACCTTAAGAAATTAAATACTTGTCGAAATAGCTACATTTACGAAATACAAGTAATTATGGGAACTGGATTCCTCCTTACCAGAAAGGCTCTTTGCCCTACAGACACACAGAGAGGACCTGGAGAAAGTTAAGACATGTGAGGTGCAGCAGAGAAAAGGCTCTGATCAGTCTAGAACAGTGTTTTGCCCTCTGAGTGATTTTGCCCCCCAGGTGACATTCGATAATGTCTGGGGACTTTCTTGTTTGTCACAATTGTAAGAAAGGGAACTACTAGCATCTAGTTGGGACAGGCCAGGGATCAGCTAAACATCCTACATTGCACAAGACAATCCCCCAGACACACAACAAGCCCTGGCTGGCCTCACCTGTCAACAGTGTCTCGGCTAACCTAAAAGCTCCAAGACCAGGAGGAGATGGGGCCAAGAATTCTGCCCTGAAAGGAGGAGATGGGTAACAGAACCAGACTCATCGGACCCCAGGACAAAGAACCAGGGAGCACATGGGAAGCTCGAGAGTGTCATCTCAGGATAAACAAAATGCAAAGATGTCTAGAGTGAGCAGACGCCTCGTAGGACTCACTACTCATGAGAACTAGTTGAGGCTGAAAATAAAGAACTTCCAGAAGAAGTTTAGATGATTTAATATATGACCAAGGCAGAAAGGAAGCCCAGGATATTTAGGGGCTCATCTCTAACCCAGAACCCAAAAGAAAGATGGCTACAAAAGCAGGGTTCTTCCAGAATAGACCACAATGACCCATTTAGAGACGGCAAGGACCACAGTACTGACATTAAGGGGCCTCTTCCTGCCTCTTGCCATGTGCAGTAGTGGGAAAGGGAAAAGAGAGAAAGGGAGAGAGAGAAAAAAAACATTCTGCTTTGCAACCAATATAAGAGAGGTTCTTTGCTTGGTGTGAACAAAGGTCCCCACCAGACAGGCAGTGCCATGGAAACCAAGCTGCACTGGAGGAATGCAGGCAGCTGACAGGGCCCCACAGGCCAGCCAGCAGGCAGGCGGGGCCTTCACCTACCCAGACTGGGCCGGCCTCCCTGCTCGGAACTGTCTCTGACACACAATTATGGCCCACAGACTTGGGGTGGAGATAGTGATACAATCTACTTTTTAAACTAGTAATGGGAGGAAAAACTTACATCCTCCAAAAAAAAGGGGCGGGGGGGGTGGGGGGAGATAGAGGACCTCACGTCTTCCAATCAGTTGTAGATTCCTCCAAAACAGCACATGGAAAGTAAACACACACACACACAGGAAATGCCTGGGGGCTGTGTATTCTGGCCTAGCAGGGTTGAGCTGCTGTTCTTCAACAGCTATCTTATCTCTACCTCCAGAAGAGAGGCAGGATGCCTCCGTGGTTAGGTGCAGGTTCTGGAATCTGGCTTTGAATCCGAGTTGTGCTACTCTTAGGGTATTGGGCCTGTTATTTTATCACTGAGTCCCACGGTACCCATTTGTAAAATGTGCAGGGCTGCTATGTAATTTAGAGAGAGCAGGAGGTACCTCACCACTCACCTGTCAAGTAATTACGTTAGAGTACTTGACATCAGGCAGCATCAGTATTTGACATCAGCCTAGAGTCCACCCCGAGTGAACGTTTCATTCATATTTCTTAAATTAAGCCCTCTACTAGCTGAAGGGAGAGATGAGGAGACAGCTTCCTCCATCAGACATGCACAGCAGTGTAAAGCAATGAGCTAAATACCCTCAGAGGTGCTGCTGGCAACTTGATAGGGGCTGGAATAATGGGCTACGCTCAGGACACCCAACTCCACACAGCACTGATTAGCATTCTGTAGGCTCCCTGGACAGCCACAGCGAGAAGCCCTCTCAACAACTGCCACCCAAACAAGTTGGGGAGAGAACTGGAAAGCCCCTCATGATAGCCCCATCTCATTTCAGGTTTAAAAGCAGGGAAAGACCATATCTGCAGTTTGTCCCTGTTGCCAATGACACTCTGGGCCTTGACTCTGAGGGGGCCTGAGTGCTGCAGAGTGAATCCAGAGGGTCTATCCCTAGAATGTATCACCTCTGGTTCAGGTAGAACCCAGAATGGCCTCAGGTAGAGCCGTTCTGCACCCGCAGTGGGTTAATGAGCAGCCAGGAGTGGCCACACTCCCACAGTTCACTTTGGACAGCTCAAGCCCCACCTTCTTAGAAATAAAAAATAAAGCTACTAAGCTATGCTAAATGGAATCATTGGATCTAAATGAATGTCTTTTCTTTTATGATTTATATCTGTGCATATATTAGACTTACACCCAGAGATGGTAATGGAGACAGTCCAATGAAGCCTCACAAATATATTTTTTAAAAAACTACTCTACCAGCTTATTGCCAAAATCTGAAATCCTGTCTTTACTAAATCATTCTTTATCTAAGAGTCCTGTTTTGTTTTGGTTTTCTTTCTTTTCTTTTTTCTTCTTTCTTTCTTCCTCCATGTTTTCCCATTCATAACACCCACCAGGCGCAGGGCCTGGGCTGAGGCCGACGTGGGATAGGCCTACTCTGCCTCCCCTTTTTCTATATGGTCAGAGTAAGAACAGAACCTGTGGTAAGCATCAATCAGGAGGGCCTAAATCCTGTTTTAAAATAAAAACACTACAGGGGAAAAAATTGACCCATCTTTTCTTCTAGGTTACTAGCTGCTATGGTCTGTAACTTGATCCCAAAACACATATATGTTAATGGTATTTGGAGGGAAGGCCTTTGGGAAGTAATTAGGCTTAGATTAGATGAGGACATTAGAGTGGGGTCCCCATGAGGACATTAGTGGTTTTCTAAAAGAGAGAGTCAAGCTAGCACAATTGTTCTGTCTGGCTATGGGATGTCCTCCACCATGTTATCATGCAGTAGCAAGGCCCTCCCAGATGCCAGAAGCTAAATAAACTTCTACACTTTAAAAATTACCCAGTCTGTGCTCCTCAGTTACACCAACGAAAAAAGAGTCTAAAATGGCATTCTTGGTACTTGCAGGTGAGGGAGAAGCTAGGTACAAATACAGGTAAAAGTATGTTGAAAGGAGGGCAGAAAGTCAGGGCAACAAATTTACCACTAATTTTAGTGTGAAGGAACTTCTAGGGCCCAAAGATGAAAAATAATCTTTCACACTTTTCACAATCATTAAACGATTCTCACAGTGGAAGTTCGCTGAGACTCAATTTTCCAGATAGTAAGCTCAATTTTCAATCGACCAACTGGTATCAATGTCAGAAAAGTCTCTAATTATCAATAGCCTGATGGTTAGCATATTTATTAATAATAGTAACTTGTTTAAAATTACTCATTTTAAATAAGTAACTATTATTAATAAATATGCTAACCAACAGGCTATTGATGGAAGAAAGAGAAATCAGAGGCTGAATATAAACTAGAATCTATCATTTCTTCTTTTCTCTTGAATCCCTGGAGTATCATGGGTGGAGACCTGAAAAGAATACCCAGAAGCCTAGAGGATGGGTCGCCACCCGGCTTCTGCTCCTTAGTTCTCAGCCATTTGCCCCTGGGTAAGTTGCCTCACCTCTGACTGTTTCTGCACCTGTTAGATTAGACCAGTGGTTTCCAAACTATGTTCCCCAGTGTTCAGAGACCCTGAAGTCCCTCCAGGAAGGCTCACAAGGCAAGGCTAACACCAATCACATATTCCTGCCAACTTCAATCCAAATATCCCCCTCTATCATCTCATGTTTTGGGGCCCTGCAAAGTTCAATTTGTAAAAAGGTTTCCTGTGACTGAAAAGAACATCTGGAAAGTTCTAGATTGGGTATTCGCCAAGTTCCTTCCAAAGCGAGCCTCATTGGGGAGTACTCTGGTTCAGAACACCCATGTTAGAGAGTGGCAAAGGGACCTCAGGGGTCACAGATGGTGGTGGAAGCAGGGCTTACCTGTGATTCTGCCCACTGTTCCTTTCACAAAGTTGCCAGCGTACCCAGCCACATGGGCTCCGAGGCTATAGCCAATCAAGTGAACATTTCTTAGAGAAAAATCATCCTTCTCCTGCAGGAAGTCACCAAAGAGTGTGAGATGAAGAATGTGATCCTGAGCCCCCAGTTCCACCCACCATTCAACAAGTCCTTCAGGATGGAGGAGGGGCCATGGGCACAGAGACTCCCCAGGGCATCAGTGGCATTGCTGAACATGCAACACACATGACTCACAGCCAAGGACGGGGAGGTCACAAGGACTTGGTGGCACTTCAAATGCTGAAGGGGCAGAGCAGAGGATGTGACTATAGGCTCCATACCTGACCCTTCCCCTAAATGTTCCCTACATGTTTTCTATTCTATTTGGCAGTATGAGGGGGCAGGGAGAGAGAACAGTATGGATGAAGGTCAAAGCCACCATACTCATTAGAAACTGACATGCCAGCCACAGCCTGCAGCGGATTGTTCTCTGCCTGCCCTCATAAGGCCTTGACCTCCACCCTGGGCCCAGGAGCTGCGGGCATCCTCACCACAAGCCCACATGTGAAGTCAGAGTTGTAACATGATTCCTTTCCAGAGTACTCAACTGTGAGGGAGTGAGGAGATAGGGAACTGACCCCATGGCTCAGGGACCCAACTCTCTCAAACAGTTGTGGCAGAGGAGAGTTGGACTGCTCAAGAATCTTGCCCAGAATTCTAGAGTTCCAGAAAAGCCAGGCTGGAATTGCCCAGATCCTAGAGTCACTTTGCCAATGTACCCCTGTCTCTCCTGCCCTGGTTAAGTCCACTAGTCTCAAGCAAATCATTAACCTATAAAAAGTAAATACAGGACCTCAGGGTCTGTTTTCCAGACTAAATATTTTTAATGAGGTATTAGGTGGCATTTGTTTGAACAAACCTCCTTCCCACCCTAAGCACAGCCATGCTTCAGAGGCAAGAGCAGACTTCAAAAGTTATTTGAAATTACAAACCTGACTGGCTCCTGGCCATTCCCAATAAACCAAGAGTATCAGCTTCTAAGATCAGCAAGTAACTAGCCATAAGACAAATTTTCTTACAACAAATAAAGTCACAGGAAAAATCTAGAGATCTATCAATAATTAAAAGGCTCTCTGAAAGTTCAGGCTTTCAAATATTTCAAATAATACTGAATTCAGCAAAAATTTTAATGTCTATTTTTTTATTGCTTTGTTTTCATTTTATTTTTTATTTTTGGTGTAGTTTGTTGTTTGTTTTGTATCGGGGATTACATTGAGGGGCACTTTACCACTGAGCTACATTTCCAGCCCTTTTTATTTTATTTTTTATTTTTTTATCTCGAGACAGGGTCTCATTAAGTTGCCCAGGCTGGCCTCAAATGTGCAATGCTCCCGCCTCAGCCTCCCTTGTAAGTGAGATTACAGGTATGTGCCACCCTGCTTGGCTAATCCCAATGCATTTGATCAGAATCTGGAAATTCATGGTAAAGTATGGCCTGTATTTCCTAAGGCCATTCAGATTTAAGATCCTGCTGGGGAGAGGTAATGACTGCTTTCGTTCTTTCATTCCCGGTTACCTGCAGCCAGTCGAGCATCCTTGCCACACTGTGACCCACCATCCTTGTGTTATTGACAGCATCTCTGTAAAGCTGGTGAGCCAGGGGCAGCCAGTCAACTACCACTACATTGGCGTCTTTCTCTCTCATCTGCAGGGCTGACACGAGTTTGTACAGCCAGTTTGCAAGCATGCCACTCGTCTGCAAAGAAAATGGGGAACTTATTTTTATATATTCTTCTCCTGGGCTTCAAAACTCCCTATGAATACAGCATTCCATTGCTGACCCTCTCCCCATCCAATTTTAGAGCCTTCACACTTACTACTTAGGAACTAAACATCTGCACATGAGCACAGCCAATCAGAGGCAGAATTGCTACATGGGCATTTTCTTTCATTGCTCTTTACATCCCCAGTTTTTCCTATCAAAACTTTCATAGGTAGTGTCCTATGTAGCTGCCCCACTGTGGGTTGGTGGTGTTACAAGCATGAAGTCCCTGTCACAGGCAAGTGGCCTGCTCCATCCTTCAAAGGCAGCTCGGAAGGGTTGCCTTGGAGAATTAGCTACTCCCTTAGAGATGCAGGGAGATGCTGCCTCCTAGGCAAACACAGAGTTAACAAATGACCCCTTCCCACAACCTATCTCTGCCATCTCTTTTGACCCCAAAGTAGTGAAAATCCATCCCTGGAATTCCAAATTAGAATCCAGAACACATTTTCCCACAGAAACCAAGTTATAAATGGTGACTGAACCCTATCTACAAGTACATTATCAAATAAATAGATTTTCTGTGCCTAGCCTGGGAACCCAAACACAATTTACAATCTTGCTTCTATGGGAAACGGCTGTTCCAAGTTCCAAACACATTATAAAAGAACTTTCTGGAATGCACTCCATTTGTAAGTCACAGGCAGTTTGTATTTGCATTTTGACAGGAAAGACTTAAAAAGGTTCAAACACATGATTTCAATCGGAGGCTGCAGGACGAGGACAGACGGACAAGCCTTTAATCAACCCTTTCTTCACATTATGTAGGTAGACACCAACCCTTCCTGCCCTTGACCCCATCGCAACTGTTGGTGATCGACCTAAACACCCAGAAAGAATGTAACAGATATGAATTTCTTACCATTAAGTGGAAGAATGTCCCCTCGCAATTAGCCCACGCAGAACCCTGCTCACTTAATAGTGCCATTTTCCTATAGACTGTCATTACATGAATGAATAAATCCCTCGCTGGCCAAGAGATTCTGAAGCTGAGCGTCAAAGCCCTTTTTTGTTGAGGTTTGTCATGGGCCTTTCAATGGGAATTGCTCAGCTAGGGCACATAAAGAGCCCCAGTTCCTTTAAATGGGCCCATCTCTCTGCAAATACAAGGGCGCCATGCCAAAGGCAGCCAGCCAGCCAGGCCAGCTGGCCCTCACAGACTCTGAGCTAGTCAAGTTGCTTCAGTTCAGCTCAGCTCTTACGGAAGGACGGCCCCCTCCAGGCAGTGGTTGACCAATGTAATTAAGTGTAATTAGAGGGTCCTTCAGAGCCAGTGGAGCTGGGCTGCTGCCCTCAGGAGACCCACTTTCTGAAAGCCTGTTGTGTGCCAGCACTAAATACCGCCCTGCTGGAGTCCACATGGCCCCCTCAGCAAAGTGCCCATTACATTCTTCACAGCTGTCTGAAATACAAGCAGCCCACAAGGAAAGAGGGGGAGAGGGTTTAGAATCGGGAAGCATCAGTATTCTTTTTAATTGACCAAAACAAAAGGAACCAAATCTGTGTAAAACCACAGAGCTCCCTCCTCAGGCTCACCGTCCATCCATGAATGATGAAAAAGGTTTTGGCTGTCACGTCGAAGCCACAGTCTTCTAAAGACTGGTTGTGGCCCAGGGAAAGATAGCATCCTTCATGCTCTGGGTCCTTAGAGGTGCGAAGGTTAAAACTCACAGATGGTTTGGACACAGCTTGGACCTTCCTGGACTCATGAAGATCACCTGGGGAGAAAGAGTAGTATAGATGCTTCTGGTGGCTTGGGTAGTGAGAGAGCTAGGGTCTGATTCTAATTCCATCTTGAGCAAATTACTTAAGCCATTTGGGTTTCACCCTTCAAGAGAATTGTGAAGATAAAGGGACCTCTCATCTATATGCAATCAGTATTAATTAGTCACTGTCATTAATTACTTTGCTCTGAATAAATGGGTGCCTCTGCTTTTCTCTATTCTTGCCTACTGATATAACTTCTTCTTTCCCTCAAGTTCTACTTTTAAAGCATGACTCCTCAATTCTTTTCCTGAAATGCTTAGGTCTAGTTAAGGTTCAGAATTCAGAAATTTGCTTATTTTAGGAAAGCTTTATAGAACATATACCATTTACTATATAACACTACCAGTGGGGTCTGGGGAATCCCTCATGAATCAAAGACACTGATATTTCTGCAGAAAAATATAGGAGTACTCACATTTAATGGCAGAAATAAACATTATAAGTAGCCTTCTGCCTGCTCAAGTCAGGCTTTGCTGCCAAAGGAGTTCAGATCAGGTAAGGCTAGGTTTTGCTGACAAACAAGTTCCCAACAAATTTTCCCATTTTGAGAGATATTGGATTTTGCAATTGGAGTTCAGAGGCTATTGACCAGTGGTACAGTGGGCTTTCCTCTGTGTTCCCAATTCTATTCCAGCACTTACTTCAAAGACCTCATGCATCCTCAGAGCCCTGTGCAGTACCAACAGGCACCAGGCATTCAGCTTACTGGTTACATAAAGGATTGAAGCTATGAAGAAACTTCTCACAGAGGTAGAACCACCACCCCTCCAGCTGCACTGCTTGCACACAGTGTCCCATGGGCAATGGCCCTGCTCCCCAAAGTGCAGCCTGCTCCACTGATGGTCCCTGTCACTCCAACACTATTCCCAATGATCATTAATGGACCCCCACCAGCACTCTTTCAGTCATCCTGGTAAGCATCACTTGCTAACTACTTAGGAGACCAAACTCTCCTATCATCTACAATCAGGGAAATACTAAATGAGCACCCAGGAGCTTAATTTATTGCAGAGTTAAGAAGCAAAAGGAGCTGGGCGTGGTGGCACATGCCTCTAATACCAGCTATTTGGGAGACTGAAGCAGAAGGATCACAAGTTCAAACCCAGCCTCAAAATAAGATAAAAAGGGCTGGGGATGTAGCTCAGTGGTAGAGCACTCCCTTAATATGTACATGGCCCTGTTTTAATCCCAGTTACCCACCCATCCCCAAAATAAAAAGAGGGAAGCAAAAGAAATTATGGAAAGAGATATTTTAGTTGAAGAAGGTGGTATTGAAGTGGGGCAAAGGAACAGAAGGTGGAAAGAAATATACCAGATGAAAGGGGGATAATGTTCTGTAAAATATAGCACATGAGCAGAACCCAGGCTATCATGAAAGTCATGAACAAAAGCTTCAACTGGCAGAAATTTGAACCCTGGACATAGTTTGACAGCTCCCCAACTTCCACCTGGATAGCCACTCACACAGAGAACAGATGGGAAGCCTAGAAGAAAAGAGGTCTACTGTCCCCTGAGACAGACTTACAGATAAGCACATGAATGGATAAAAAAAAGTTCACCTTGGTTTCTGGCTCCATCTGTGACCCCACAATACTCTATCTTCATTCCTGTTACTTTGGACCAGGGTCACTTCAGTCTGTGGGACTTTACGACTGTTCTTCACCCTGGTGTCCTTGTGGCTCATTCTCTCACCTCCTTCAGCTCCTTTGCTCAAGGATCAATCAAGTTCTGGGTAACGCCTTCCCTGAGCACAAATTAAAATCTCACCACCTTCCACCAGCAGCACTCCATAACGTCCCCTCTACTTTCTTTTCTTCCATAACCCTAAGCACCATTTATATATTTTCATAAATGCACCATCTGTTTTCCCACCAATGACATGTAAGCTCCACTAGGACAGGGACTATAATCCTGTTCTCTTTTATGCTGTCATCTCTGCTCCTGAAAGAGTTCCTGGTACTAAGCAGGAAAGCAACAAATAGTTTTCAAATGAATGGCATGGCCTCCAAATCATCAAAAGTCAGAATATAGGACCTGGAAGGAACTTCAGCGTTCCTCAGGAGACAAACTAGAGAGGGTCATGCTTCTAGTTAGCACTAGAGTTGGAAACCTGTTAGGCAAAGCAAACCTTCCCCATTCATTTCCATTAACAGCCCCATGCACACATAAGCCAACTCGGACCTCTGCAGACAAGTGGATGAAATGATGGGGCTGGGTTTTGGGATTTCCCAGCCTTTCTCTACTTAACTAGATGATAGTACTGGCTCCAAGTGACCTTACTCTCACTCCACCAGGCAGACTGCCTCCAACGGAACAGACTTCCATACAGAACTCAAAAGGAAGAAAAGCTAGAGTCTAGGAGGAGGCCCGGGAAGAGTGGGGAAAGAAAGAGCTTTGGGGAGGACGAGGCTGACAATCTGGAGGAGCTAGGACGCCAGGCAGCCTCTCAACCCAAGCCACCCACTAGATGCTCCCTGCAAGCACTAATCAAACTAAAGCCAGCTCCCCTGCCACCTTCACTTTCAAAACCCTGGGCCAAGGTTAAAAGGAGGAGCGCTGGAAGGCAGAGCTCTTTCCAACAACTTTTTTGCCTCTCAACCCTCCAGCTTCAAAGACAGGAAAAGGTTTTAGAACTGCCCACGGGCAAACGGGTGGCTGGACAGCAACGATTAAGGGACTCATACAATGGAAGCAGGCGGGATGAGATAGGGCAAGACAGACAACACCCTGCCCGCCTGTTGCCTCCTCTTGATTTACCAGGGGATGCCCTCATTAGAAGCGCTGAAGGACAAGTGGCTCCAGGTTGATGAGAAAGATGGACAGCACTGTGGGGAAGCAAGGAGGATTTCGGAGGCACAAGGAGGAACCAAAGAAGGGCCGGCAAGGCAGAGAGGACCCAGCACAGAAAAGAAGTGGAGAGTGGGTAATAAACATAGATGCACGTTACCTTCCAGCGGTCCCTCGGGACCAAAGGGTGTGGGGCTTCCCGCCGCAAAGCAACAATAGGCGCTCCAGAAGCAGAGTAAAGGAACCGAGTTCTTCATCCTTCCCCGCCACGCCCCCTCCCCTGAAACAGGGATTTCAAACAAAACAAAACACCACCACCTCCCGAGCCAGTAAGACCAAAAGTGGGCACCCTTCTCTCGGTCAGATTGATGGGCTAGAGAGAGTTGGAGGAGAAGGTGGAAATTGAAAACCTGGCTGCCCTGACGGCGGGAGGTGGGAGGGAAGAGCGAGGAGGGACTTGCGGCAGAAGCCGACCTGCGCTCGCTCTGAGCTGCCGGGAAGCCGGGGCTCGCCACTGTCACACCGAGAGCTCCTAGCGAGGTAGTTTTTTAAAGTATTGAAGTCATCTGACCCATCGCCAGATGGTTATTTGCATAATTTATTCCCAAATCTGGGCTCTGATTGGTCACGCCTTCGGTGACGCCCAAACCGAGACTCCCCAAAGTTTGAATGAAAGCGCCCGCACACCCACCGCGTGGACACTAGCACAAGTGGCCTTGCTTCCGCGGCCGCTCCACAGGCTGCCGCGACTCCCGCCACCTCCGCTTCCCTGTAGTGTCTCTCGCAGACCCGTAGGTCCTCCACTAGCCCTTCCGCCCCCCGAGGGGCACATTTCCCCGAAACCGTGCGCGCTCTGGGAACGCGATCCCAGGCGAACTAACAGAGAGTCGGGATTGGGGGAAGCCAACTTTTCCTCCACTCCAGCCCGGAGAGTGCTGCAACAGGTGCAAACGTCGTGATTGGACTTATAACCCAGCAGAGCTGGGGGACTGTGGGCTGTGACCCACGCTTCAAAGTCACACAAAACCTGCTCAGAGTACCTGGTTCCACCACTAGCTGCAAAACTCAGCCAGACACCCAGTTTCTCCAAGGCCATCCTGTCGTCCTCAGTTCGCGGGTGATAACCGTTCCTGCCACTTCAGGATTTGGGGGAAATTGATAAGAGTTTAATGTTGGAAAGGCTTAGGGCGGCACCGGGAATGTGGTAGGCGCTCTCCTACACAGGGTGGAGGAGTAGAAGGATAGAAGGCGACCCTCCCCAAAGGGAAGAGTGAGCCTAACTTGATGGAGAGGGTCTTAGACGCGTGGCCCAGCCTCCGCTGCGCGCTGTAATTATCTGGTGAGTGGAATTAGACACGTTCTTCCTCTCTTTCCTCCATCATTTCCCCCCTCTTATCCTCCCCTTTTAACTGAGATCCCAAAGATGGTGGAATGAAATGGACATCCTTACCCCAGGTATATGTATGACTGCACATATGGTGCGACGCTACATCCAGCACAACGAGAGAAATGAAAAGTTGTGTCGCAATTGTGTATAATGAATGCATTTTGCTATTATACAGACCTAATTAAAATTAATTAATTAATTATTTTTAAAAAGTGGCGAGCGCCTGAGACTTTGGCCTGAAGTCTGCGTCTGGAGCTTGGGACCTTGGCGGAGCCACCGCGTCCGGAAACCTGGGAGGACCCAGGGAGCTGGAACGCACCAACGCATTTTCTGCGCACCACCATCCAGACTCCTTCCAACCGGGGACAGCTGGCTCTGCAAGGCGGCACCCTTGACCGAGAGTAACCCTGCAGTCATGAGGAACAAGTCCCGCCCCTGCCAAAGGAGAAGAACCCCCTCAGCAGCCGCTTCCGTGGTGTCGACGCTCCAGTTTGAGAGTCGACAGTTTGAGGAAAACGATCCGGAGCAAACAGGTCCTGTTCTGACCTATCCTAGTTATTTTGTTACTCCAGCTGCCATCCGAGCACGCTTTGTCCCTCTTGTGTGCTATCATCCATTAACAGGAGGCAAGCTGGCTGTATTTTGTTTTAAATATACTCAATACTCTATATGGGATGGTTAGTCATCCCCAGACTTGTCACTCCCATCCCCCGCCCGCCCTCGCTCTCCATTGACAAACTATGCAGACACAGATCAAGTGTTAGCTCCATTGTACAGATGCGAAAACCGGCACCGGGGCAGGCTGCACATTTAAAGGAAATCTCGTAACAGGATCCCTCTTTTCTGCTCTAGGTTTGATTTGGCCAGTTGACCTCTAAATATGAGCCGCTGGCAGCCTTATCTCCATCTCCTTAATGGTTGAGGCAGGGAGTAAACTACGATTAAAAAATTCTTGCCCATAGAGGTGGTGCACCTGTGTGGCTCAGGAGGCTGAGGCAGGAGGATCACAAATTCAGGGCCAGTCTTAGCAACATAGCAAGACCCTGTCTCAAAAATAAAAATAAATAAACGGGACTGAGGATGTAGCGCAGTAGTAAAGCACCTCTGGGTACAATCCCCAGCAAACAAAATAAATAAATATAAAAAATTAAAAATCCTCCTTAACCCAGCAAGCTCAGCTACTCTGGGGATGAGGCAGGGTTGGTAGAGCCCAAAAGTTCAGAGCAGCCTGGGCAACATAGTAAGACACCTTATCAAGGAAAAAAGGAAAATCCCCTTTCCTGTTGAGTTGTTCATAGCCATTGTCCCAATAATATTAATTGGACAATATGGAGGGTGTCTTGGAGACCTTTGTCACAAGTGAGATATTCTGGGAGAGGCAGGTATTGCTACAAAAATTGATTATCCTGTCTGAGGGAAAAAACAAGATCAACAAATCAATGCCCATTTTTTAACTTCCCAGGCTATGAAACCAGTTGTTTTATTGCTGGTTGGTTAGAGTGCCCCCCTGTGTCTCCTTAATAAAATATCATGTAAGAAATTCCAAAGGACAATGAAATTTTAATAGTAGCATTCAAATGTATATCATCAACTCCTGTTCTCCATACTTCCCAGAAAACCCACAAGGAGATCTAGGAGCCTTCTACATGAAGGAATTTTCAACTGAGGAGTCTTGGTGGAAACTTCAGTTGTGTTTTAGCCAAAATTGCAAGGTCAGGACTACCATGGTAAGAACTCTAGTCACTTCCTTTTGGCAACCCATCTTCTAAAAGGCTCTTCCTATGTTACGGCTGTGAATCTCCCTTGTATGGAAAGAGCCCACTTTGCACTACAGAAGCTAAAAACCAAACCCTCACCTCCCCAACCTCCCTTACAGCTGGTTCCCAATTTAAACTCAGGCAATAGCGGGCAGCCAGGTCTGCTCCTCTGGCTTGATAGTTTGGGGGCACTGCTCTCTGCTTCAGTGAGTCCTCCAAGCCTGGGTCTTCTGTCCTGCAGAGACTCCAAATGCCACCTAATATTTTATTAATGAGTTCATCTTTAGCATTAACTCTCCAGAAACCACTTGTATTGCTTACAACTAAATAAATAAATAAATAAATAAATAATAAAAATTAAAAACTGACTTAATCATCAGATGTTTATTGAGCAGCCATCCAGAAGAAACACTGGATTTGAATGCCCCAAGGCATTTGTTAATCTCATGGGCTCTAAACCTTGAAAGCCATCTTTATGTCATTCTCTAATGTTTATCTCCAGCTTAAACCCCTCTCCCTAAACTGCAGACGTGATAATGATCTTAGTTACCAAAAAGGATCTCAAACATGCTACATTCTAAACTGAGTCCCCAACTTGTACCTCCAAAGCTACTCCTGCCTCAATCTTCCCAATCTTAATAAGTGGCAAATTAATCCTCCTAGACATTCCAGCCAACAACTGACATCAGATTTTACTTCTCCCATTTTTTTCTTATCCCAAATCCAAAATCCAACAAATCCCAGTGGTTCCTCCTTCAAGACTAGTCCAGAATCTGAACACCTCCACAGCGTCCACCCCAGTCCAACCCCAGCATATGTCACCTGATATAAACCAGCTGACATACCCTCCAGTGTCACCTCATCTCATTCATAGTCCCTGACTCAGCAAAACCTCCGCTTCACCTCTCTGACATGAATGCACCCTACTCTCCCCCAACTCAGATCCCTCCTACACCCCACATGTTCCCACTGCAGGCCTTCTATGCTATTTCCTCTATTGATCACTCAGATACTAACATGTGGCCCACTCTCTCATTCGTTCAGGTCTTTGCTCAAGTGTCAGTGTCTCCATGGAGGTTCCCTGAACACCAGATTTAAAGTTGCAAACCCCCACTCTCAGCACTGTTTCCAGCCCGTTAATTTTCTCTATAACACTTACCGCCCTCTGACACACTCTATAGCTTAACTATTGTTTACAGTGTGCCTTCCCCCACTAAGATAAGGGGAATTTTTGTCTATTTTGATCATTGTTGTATTCCCAGCACCAGGACTTAATATATATTTGTTAAATAAATGCATGATAAATTTTCAAACTCTAAATTTTCTCAGAGCCCCCAAAAAGTATCAAAATTCTTTTTTTATAATAATCCAGAATAAAACCGATACCAAAAAGAAACAAAAAATAAATTTAAAAGAAACTAATGCCAAACTACCAAACTAATATTGACAAGATTGAAATAAAGCTGTCCCTCTCCTCGGACTATACCCAAAGGACTTGAAAACAGCATACTACAGGGACACAGCCACATCAATGTTTATAGCAGCATAATTCACGATAGCTGTGGAACCAACATAGTTGCCCTTCAATAGATGAATGGATAAAAAAAAGTGGTATATACACACAATGGAATATTACTCAGCATAAAAGAAAATAAAATCATGGCATTTGCAGGTAAATGATGGAGTTGGAGAAGATAATGCTAAGTGAGGTTAGCCAATCCCAAAAAACCAAATGCCTAATGTTTTCTTTGTTATAAGGAGGCTGATTCATAGTGGGATAGGGAGTGGGAGCATGGGAGAAATAGATGAACTCTAGATAGGGCAGAGGGGTTAGAGAGGAAGGGAGGGGACATGGGGTAATTAATGATGTAGAATGTGATGATCATTATTATCCAAAGTACAGGTATAAAGACACGAATTGATGTGAATATACTATGTATACAACCAGATATATGAAAAATTGTGCTCTATATATGTAATAATAATTGTAATACATTTTGCTGTCATATATAAATAAAAAAATTAAATTAAAAAGAAGAAAACTATAAACCAGTTTCATTTCAAGCATTTTACATAAAATATTAACAAATAATACTCATGAGTGCATTCAAAGTACAACCCCAGCTATTGTGATACATACAATCAGTTCAGAAATGCAAGGAAGCATGGCCCAAAATGAGGAAATCTATAAATATAATTTGCCAAAAGCCAACAACAAAAAAAGTTATTTCAATAGGTGTTTGAAAAGAATTTAAAATAACATAATTCAATAACATGGATGATTACATGCTGAATATATTTTTCCAATATCAGAGGTAAGGACTCTCTAAGCAAGATATAACAGAGGCAATAAAAGAAAAAATAGCTGAGTGTGGTGGCACTCTCCTGTA